CTACAATTAAGCCCCGTGGAGAAAAGTGAATCCAACTTGAATCTGATTTAATCGACCATAAACTAACCATGGCTATCGAACCTTTAAACCCACAAGATGATCAAAACACTTGATTGTAATTCTATTAACAATAATTATTAATAAGAATAATTAAAAAACAAGCCCATCTCTCTATTTACAACTAACTTAAATCTCTTAATTCCTTAATTCCTTAATCATCTTCATCGTCTCTGATTAATTTCCTCAATCCCACAATCTAGTTAAGGTGAAAATCCCCTCGAGTCCTTGTGGAGGAAAAAGACTTGACTGTTTACTTCATTTTCTCGTTGTTTTTGTTTGAATTTTGTTTTCTTTTTCTTAATTGTGCTTTTGTGATTCGATAATCAAATGATTAGAAATATGAGTGAATTAACTGTCGCTTCTTCATTAGCCCAAGTTCTCAATAGGATCAAACAAGCTTGTGATAAAAGGCCAGAGGTAAGTATATTAATCAGAATCAATTTTATTTCTCCTCTTTGATTATCTTCACCTATTTTCCTTTCATCATATGTTTTTTGTTGACATTTGTAAATTCTCATTGATTGATTATTTTCATGGTTTTAATTGTTTCTTTTCTTAAAGAATCTTCGTAAAATCAATGTAAGATTAGTCGCTGTGAGTAAAACAAAACCAAAACAATTAATTATCGACGCTTATGGTTATGGACAAAGACATTTCGGTGAAAATTATGTAAGTGTCTTTACTATCATTTGATTTATTTTGATTGTTTGCTGCAATTAAATCATTGTTTTCTTTTTGAAATCAGGTTAATGAACTTTCTGAGAAAAGTCATGATCAAGAGGTAAGTTAATTGTCAACTTTGTGATTAGTAAATGACTCTAATATTATGAGGATATTTCAAGTTGTTGAATAAATGTCCAGATATTCAATGGCACTTCATTGGGAGAGTACAGAAGAAGCAGATTAACAAATTACTTGGTAATTAGATTGAAATGTTGTTAATTGTTGACAGATATTTAATTTTGTTTGTTTTTCTTTCTAATTAGGATCAAAAAACTTGAGTATTTGGGAGACAATTGATAGTCAATTGATTGCTGATCTTGCCAATTCCTCATTGAAACGCAACTTTCCTGGCAAAAGAGTGAAAATTATGGTCCAAGTTAATACAAGCGGAGAGGAAAGTGAGTCCTATTAATAATGTCGAGATGACCATTATTCATATGGCATAAAATGGACACTTAATCAACTTTTATTTCATCATTTGGATGTTTAATTTGCTAACTAGATAAAGGTGGAGTGGAGCCTGAAAAGGTTGTTGATTTGGTTAATCATATACGTACTAATTGTCAATCACTCGAGTTGGTTGGTCTTATGACTATTGGCTCTTACGATAATAGTCAAAGTGATGATCTTAATCCCGATTTTGAACAATTAGTTAAATGTAAACATGAAGTTTGCAGTAAATTTGACTACGATCCTGATGAATTTGAGTTATCAATGGGAATGTCATCTGATTTCGAGACTGCGGTTCGTTGTTATTACTTAGGCCAATTTTTAATTACTCATCGAGAAAATTTTCTAATCAATTGTTCTTATAATTTTTATTCTTAGATTCTAATGGGAAGTAGTAATGTGCGAGTCGGAAGTACGATTTTTGGGCGACGAGAGTACAAAAAGTAACCAAATTTGATGAAATAATCACGAACAATTTTCCAGCCAAATGATGAACTGATTTTGGATTTTCTGATTAGTTTACCAAATTTATTTTCCAATTAATGAATATTAACGATTATGAACCATTGAATTTTTGAATTTAATCTAAAGATTTCAAAATAGATACTTTATAAGTTCGACTCTTTCTAATAGTTAATGATTTATTCTCGGGACTAATCGATTATTTTCGATTTCGATCGTACAATTAAGCTAAATTCATAATTTAGATCAGTTTCAAAAGTGAACAAATTTAAACAAGAAGGACCTGAGTCTCATCTACACTAATACATTGAGCTCCAGTTCAATGTTATAAGCGAGTAAGCAATTAGGTGCATTCGCTAAATGGTTTGGTCATCGATTGAATTAAGTACAGTAGTAATTTCACTTGAAGAATATCAATTTTTTCTTTCGACTGTATATCGAAGTGTCAGTTACAAAAGTTTGGCGAATAGTTTATGGATCCATAGAATCGTATCGAGAACTAAGATAAAAATACTATTTTCTAGAATTGATATCGAAATAAGTTGGAATTTTTCCATGAAAATCGAAAAAAATCATTTTGTTAAACATACGAAAATTTCGGTATTTGTCACATCAATCGTTAAATTATTTCTCTTTGTGAATATTTTTCGCTCCAACAAAATGCCGACAATACGCAAAGAAATATCAACACAAAAAGTGATCAAGTATCGGTAAAAGTATCGATACAAAAATTTGTTGTTTATTTTTTTCTCTCTTGTTTTTGTTGTTGTTTTAAACGAATTGATATTTACCTTTAATGTCCGACAATTTGAACTGCATGGGGACCGATATGAGAATGGCGGAGGTACAAAAGTACGAAATGTTGAAGCGATATTACAGTTACTTCGAGAACCAAAGGATGGACAATAAAGATGTTCCTTGTTTAGACAATTGTTCATTGAGAACAAGCAAATTACAAAAAGTGAGTTTTTCTCTTTTCTCTTTCAGTGTCAATCATCTATAACATTTTCTTTTCTTCTCTCTTTCCCTCTTCTTTTTTTTTCTCTCACTTGTGATCTTCATCTCCACCATCATGGAAAACAAACTCTATCCATACGAATCTTCCATCAGCTTGAATTGGAATTGCAAAAAGTTCATGCGGCCCATGAAGAGTTGACTATGTCTTTCACTAGAATGGAAAATTGAGAAAACATGCGTCTCAAATTGGAAATAGACATTGGAATTCTGAGAGAAGAGAATAATAACCTAAAAGCAGAAAGAGATCTTCAGAAAAATGAACTGGAAGCTCAAAGATTAACGATTAAGGAACAAAGGGAATTGATTAATCTTCTTGACAATTCACTCAAAGCCTCACAAAGAACCGTCGCTGAACTGGAAGGTGAACTGTACAGACTAAAGTCATCGGAAAGAAACTCAAGTCAACTCGCTAATACAGTTACGAGCAATCGATCATCGTCACTGAATCTGTTCACCTCCGCCTCAGGTTCCAATTCTAATTGCAGTTCACAGGAAAATAACGCCAATCTAATCACGACCGATGAAACCAATAACAGCAACAATCGAAGCTCCATAATCAGAGCTCTTTTAGCGGAAAGAAAAAATTTCTCCGACCATCTAATAAGAAAGTGATCACTAATCAATTAGCCATATTATTTTTCCCCTTCTCTTCCTCGTGTATCAAAAATTAAACATCTCAATTGTTTCATTTATATTAGTTAATCATCTATCTTATCATGTAAAATGTACAACATATCAAAGTCACATAGACACTTAACTAAATCGCCCAAAAGTGCTAATAAACTCATCGCGCCATAAGAAAAATCATCACAATTGTTTCAAGTTTAATCATTAAAAATACTCAAAGAAAATCTGATCACCAAAATCACAATAACAGAAATTAAATTAATTGCTTCGTAAATTACAACGCTTATCAGTGAGAAAAAAACCCTTTCGACAATTAAACCATTCAGGTGATTATCTAATAATTGTTGTTCTTGACGATGATAAATCATTTTCATCATTAAAAATCAATTGATTATCATGGTCACTCTAATGGATAAATTTCTTGCTTGATTTACTGAGTTTTCAACAATAAATTCATTTACTCATACAGTAACAAATTGTTGCTAACAATTGGGAATTGAAAGGGAACAATTAAATAACTTCAATTGAATAGAGATTTTTGATTGACAATTATGTAGATGTTTAAATTTCCTTCAGAAATTTTGATTCCTTTAATTGATCATTTCCAATGCATAAACTGAACAATCAATGAATACATGAATGTGAATGTTGGTTAAAGTTTCTAAGAAATGGATGAATATGAAATTCAGACTGTTAATGCTGATAAAATTTTCTTTGATCATCTTTTAATTGTTGATTTATTTTCTTTGATGGTTAAATTGGGAAATTAGAGAAACAAGCAAATTGATTGGCGAGATTGTTTTTGTGTCTTGGAATGAAAGTTGAGCTTGGTTTTAATTGTAACAATTTGTCGACCAAATTACTTTGAATCGCTCCAGTGTTGAGAATAATTTTCTCCTTTTTCAGATAATTAATCGTCTCGGTGACTTTGGTGAGACATTCTTCCGATAGAAATGGAGGATCACAAACAATAATATCGAAAAATGAACTGGACAAAACTTCTTTTACGGCCAAAGGATCGCGATAATCATAGAACACGAAATTAGGTCCTAGCCGAGCGAATCGTTGATCAAATTCAAGAAGATAAACTTGAACATCAGAATATTTGTCATTTTCCTTAATCATGGAAAGTAATTTAATGTAAACAGTTGGACATGAGATGCAACCGATTACTCCATTTCCATTGATCGTTTTAATGAGAGAATCGGCCAAGAATTGAGTCGTTTCTTCATCGTACCAGAATTGACTCAATTCCTTCAATGGAGAGAAAAGAATTAGAATCACAATTAGAATTAGAATAAGAAACAAATTGTAAATCAAATGATTATTAATACAAAGTTCTAACTCACCCAATCTTCAGAGCTCTTTGAATCATCTTGTTGATTGTTTTCTGTTCCAAGAGAATTCATTCAATGCTGCCAACGATTCAGCCGAAAGATGAGGAGGATCATCATCATCTTCGAGATTCGACATTTTGTTTACAAACAACAATTGGAAATCACAATTTGCAACAATGTTTAGATTGTAAAGTTTAGAATTGGAAAGAGACAAGATTTTAATTGTTACCAAAGTGATTTTCTTGGCTCGAAATTCAATCTCATTGATTAGTTGATTTTCTTGTGAATATTGAAAATTGCGCTCAACTATTAATTCACTTGAGTGAAAAACCGATTAGACTTTTTTGGAAAAGTTTTTTGTTTTGATTTTTAAATTAAAAATTTTTTAATTTTTGAATCTTGTTTTACAAATTGTGACCTTTGTACCTATTGAATTAAGATGAACAAACCTTTGAAAGTATTTTGTTTTAATTCGCTATGGAATACATTTGTTTTCGATGAGAAACTTTACTCTCAGTGGTTATCATCATTCGATGTAGAGCTAAGAGATTTACCTGTTGCTATTGTTTCCATTGTCGGTGATGCGAGAAAAGGAAAATCTTTTCTATTGAACTTTTTCCTTCGATATTTACAACGACACGACCAAGAAGATTGGATTGGTGATCTGGATGAACCATTAAGAGGTTTCTCATGGAGAGATGGCGTTGAGAGAGATACTGTTGGGATCGTTTTATGGCCTAAACCTTTTGTATTGACTCGAAAAGATGGTTCAAAAATTGTTGTTATTTTAATGGACACTCAGGGTTTTTATGATGATCACACAAAGCACGATACAGTCCGCGAATTTTTCACCATTTCAACGATTAGTTCATCGATTCTAATCTATAATCTCAATGGAAACATCCAATCAAATGATTTAATAAATTTATCCGAATTCAGTGAATATGCTAAAGTTTATGCTGGTGAAGCCAAAATAGAAAATGGAATTGAGGCCTTTCAGCAATTGTTGTTCGTGATCCGAGATTGGTCTAATCGTAAGGAATTTGAATTTGGACTCAAAGGAGGATATGATTTCTTGGAATACAAGAAAGAAAGTCAGAAAGATAAATTCTGTTCTCTATGGGCCAAATTGGAGAAGTGTTATTTGGACATTGATTGTTGTTTGTTACCTTCGCTTGGAGACAAAGCTGAAGATCTCGATTTCAATGGAGAAATAAGTAAATTGAAACCTGAATTTGTCAAAGCTCTCAGAGAATTAGTTCCATCACTATTAGCACCAGACACAATTGTCACTAAATCAATTGGAGGAGAGGAAGCTCAATGTTGGCAAGTCTTAAAGATCTTCAAGAAATTGGCAAAAAATAAAGGTAATTTTCTACCTTTGATTCAGTCTTATTTTTATATCTCTCTTCTTTTCTTTTCTTTAGTTATGGAATCTAAGAAATCGCAATTTATAAAAAACGGCCCCATCATCATTGAGGCTTTTGATGATTCCAAAACATTTTTCCATGCCTTATTTCCTGGTAAAACGTTTGATCTTGCACTGATACTGGCTATTCAAATGTATGACAACAGAACAGATTTAATTTATGATGATCACGTGTCTTCTAAACGCGCGGAGTTAATTGTTTACTGTGAACGTATTCGAGATGAGGCCATCAAAAAGAACGAAGCTTCCACCAGTAGGCCAAGAAATATCGATTGGCTCAAAGTGAGCGGAGTCGTAGCCACAATCGCCTTTACTGTAGGGAAACTGATCTTGCTAAAGAGACTATGAGTTTTTAAAACTAACACTCATTTGAAAGCCAGAGAGATAAATGACTCGATATAAATACTCCCCTTGGGAAATTTTACAGAAACTGATTAAATTTTGATAACACTTTCAATCGGAGCTTTTCGGGGAGTTTTATAAATAAACACTCGATGGATCAAAAACAATCCATAAAGGAGATACATCAAATCTTTCATAATGAAAACTTTCGAGTCAAAATATAAGTTAAATTGTCAATCTCCTCATTAGGAGCAGAATCTATTTGACCAATTCTGACAAAAGACGATAAATTGTCACTCGACAAAGCTCATACGTTTGCATTACATCTAAAGTTAATTGTAAACATTAATGACTAGCAAATGATAATCAAATGTTCTGACGATTGAAACAATTGAACAAAGTATTCAATTGTGTAGCAGTTTAATTTTATTAGGCACTCCGAGCCTTTTTTTAGCCCTTCAACAATGAAACCTAAACTTATTCAAACAAACAATTAAATTGATTAGTTTCAATTATTAATCTTTTTCAATCAGTTCATTTCGAGACTGGAAATTTTCACGTTTATTTCTCTGATCAAATTTATCAATATTCTATCCATTATCTATTTTCGACTTTGAAATTTTCCACGGGCGATCGATTTTTTTTGAAAGTCGAGATCGATCAATTTTCTTCATCAGAAATCGATGTGATCGATCAATTTTTCGGATCAAAAGTTTTGATTCAAAACAAAATCTCAAGAGTAACGATGTTGTTACCTTTTTGAAAGACCGATTGGACTTTTCTCCGTTTTAGTTTCTATTTTTTTACCGATTTTCCAACTGTGACCTTTGTTCCTGTAGAATTATAATGATCGAACCTCTGAAAGTTATTTATTTTGATTCGCAATCAAATGAATTTGTCTTCGATGAGAAAGGCTACTACGAGATGTTATTATCATGGGAAGATGGTATAAGTAATCTGCCTGTTGCTATTGTTTCCATTGTCGGTGATGCGAGAAAAGGAAAATCTTTTCTATTGAACTTTTTCCTTCGATATTTACAACGACACGACCAAGAAGATTGGATTGGTGATCTGGATGAACCATTAAGAGGTTTCTCATGGAGAGATGGCGTTGAGAGAGATACTGTCGGGATCGTTTTATGGCCTAAACCTTTTGTATTGACTCGAAAAGATGGTTCAAAAATTGTTGTTATTTTAATGGACACTCAGGGTTTTTATGATGATCACACAAACCACGATACAGTTAGTCAATTTTTTACAATTGCAACGATTATTTCATCGATTCAAATCTATAATCAGAAGGGAACCATTCAATCAAATGATATTACAATTTTATCCAAATTTAGTGATTATGCTGATAGAGTGGCAAACGAAACTGGAGTCAAAGCCTTCCAGCGATTGTTGTTCATGATCCGAGATTGGTCTAATCGTAAGGAATTTGAATTTGGACTCAAAGGAGGATATGATTTCCTGGAATACAAGAAAGAAAATCAGAAAGATAAATTCTGTTCTCCATGGGCCAAATTGGAGAACTGTTATTCGGACATTGGTTGTTGTATGTTACCTTCACTGGGAGACAAAGCTGAAGATCTCGATTTCAATGGAGAAATAAGTAAATTGAAACCTGGATTTGTCCAAGCTCTCAGAGAGTTAGTGCCATCTATTTTGTCACCCGATAGAATTGTCACCAAATTATATGGAGGAAAGGAAATTGAATGTTGGAGGATCTTGAATCTCTTTAAAGAAGCGACCGAACAACTTACATGTAAATTTAATTCATTTACAAAATTTCTTGTCTCTGATGATTAACTCTTCTTTTACTTTCATTCAGCAATCAAATCAATTGATATTGAGGAATATGGATTGACCAGTAACATTTCCATAATCAATAATGCTCATTTACTAGCCAGACATCATTATTTGGAGCAACTTCAATGTTTTGAACAATCTGAACAAAAAGCTCTCCAAAAAGAACATTTCGATGCCGCTGAAACGGCAGCTCTTGAATTGTTTGATGAAAAAACAGAATTAATCGACGATGAGCAAGATGAAATCGACATTGCAAAATTGGAGCTGGTCCAGTTCTTCGCGCACACCCGCGAAATTTTTCCTCAACTGCCGCGATCAAGTCTAAAAGAAGCCTCGAAAATGTCTCTATTCCACATAAAGTGGGGCGTTTTACTCGGAATGGGTCTCGCTGGGGCCGCTACATGTGCGAAACTCTATTTTATCAAAACTATATGACCTCTTTTTGCAAAATCGCTATTGAGATTTATTTGAATCGAACTTTTAGTTTGTAAAGAAATGGAACCAATTTAAAATATTTTGTCTT